GACAGTGGTGTCAAAAGTACACACATTTGTTTACTTAAGTAGAAGTATAGATACTGCAGTTTAAAAACACTCTTGTAAAAGTTGAAGTATCAGCTTGGCCTATTTACTCAAGTAAAAGTGGAAAAGTATGTGCTCCAAAAACAACTTAAAGTATAAAAGTATAAAATAATAAAATAAAAAAAAAACAGCTAGATGCCACTATATGAACTGAAAGCTAAATTTTTCAACTCTTTAAAAAAATTATTTGAGATAGGGCCAAGGATGAAGGAGGTCTTGTTGATCTCCATCTCCTGAAACGCTCTTGCCTGTGTCTGAGCTTTTAGACATTTCAACATCTTTTTCTGAATTCCACATTGTAGCATGGCATAGACAATTCACGTTTGCAGTTTGAAGAACACCTGCTTCTGATTATTTCCTTTAGCTAACCAATGAGTGTTTGCGTTATATGACTCATCCAATTACACTAGTTTTCACTAGATGTGGAATCTGCATTGGATAGCGCAAATGACGTGAAATTAATATTTATAAACATTAAACCATGGGGTAACCAATTAAAAATCAGCGGGGTCTGAATAAAGAAAATCATCAACCAGTAAAGGTCCAGAAACATTTTTAATGATCTGTTACTTTAAACAGAATTTAACAGTGAAATAAAATGAGGTATATATGTATTCATGTTATACATTGAATAAAAAAAATATATATACATATATATATATATATATATATATATATATATATATATATATATATATATATATATATATATAGTATATATATATATATATACAGAGAAAGAGAGATAAATTGCCAGAAATTGCACCCTGCGCTATCTTAGAGGAGTTGACACTTGTATGACTTTATTCCTGTATATCCATCAGTATTTAAAACAATGACAGCGCAATTGTGGCTGTCTGATCTGAAGCCTCATTTGGAGATCCTAAACAGGCTTTTGAAAATTTGATAATTTGCTGCTGTAATATTATAGATTTTTTACAATAACAAGCTAGCAGAAAAACAGAAATACAATTATGGAGCATTTAGTATTGTAGAAAGCCCACGCCGTTTCTGTTCCGTTTCTGTCTCTTTCCTTGTAAGTGTGAAATGTCCCATGTTCCTGAATGCACCATAGCTATCTGACGCTCGTTTATGCATCACACTGGTCAGTGAGCGCTGTGCTCTGTAGATGCGGGTTTGATTTTCCGCTTAAGACAAAGCTTTGCAGTTTCCAAACTCCCGCCGGCTATCACTGTTTATTGTTGTGTGTTAATAACAAGAGACTACAACAAATAAATCAGCCGTACCTTGGACGAAATCTTTGGATTTAATGTTGTTCATAACACCTGTACTTTTGTAAATGAATCTGCCAAATAACCAAATTTTTTTTCCCAAAAGAGGTATATTTAAAAGTTTTTATATAATTAATATAACGAGTAGCTCCGTCATATTTTAATCCGTTTTCCTCGTTGATAGTCGCAGTTGTACAGAGCGAGGCACGCTGGCGCAAATGGGGATGCATATCTCGGCAGGCATGCACTTTTCGACATAACACCAGCGCCTTGTCTGCCAATCCGTGACCTCTGCATTAAACCGAAGCCAAGAGTAATGAGTAACTGCTGAGATATGCATCCCCAGTTGCGGGAGCGCGCCTCGCTCTGTACAACTGCAGATCAACAAGGAAAACGGATTAAAATGTGACCAATGGAGCTACTTGTTGTTATATTAATGATATAAAACGTTTAAATATACCTCTCGTGGGAAAGAAATTGTGGTTATTTGGCAGATTTATTCACAAAAGTAAAGGGTGTTATTAACAACATTAAATCCAAAGATTTTGTCCGAGTTACGGCTGATATATTTGTTCTAGTCTCTTGTTATTCACACACAACAATAAACAGTGATAGACAACGTGAGTTTTGAAACTGCAAAGGTTTGTATTAAGCGGAAAATCAAACGTGCATCTACACAGCACAGCGTTCACAGATCAGTGTGTTGCATAGCTATGATGCATTCAGGAGCATGGGTCATCTGGATTTTTCATTTTGGAACGGACTTTGAACTTTGAACTTTGCTTTGAGTTTGGACGATATGGACCTCCTTTGTGGACATATTATTAAAAATAGAAAGAACAGGCAGTTTTGGACTTTCAGTTATTTATTACGTTTTTTTTTTTTTTTTATAATTCGTTGTTTCTAAAAATCAACAAGAATCTTACTAAGTGGCTGGATATTTTTACTTTCGTATCAAAATTATAATGTAACATATTTTACCTGATTTCCTGTGACAGAATCCCCCTTGAGTATTTGTGAGTTCTGCTTTTAATCAAGCTGAATTTTACATCTGTACACAGTTCACTTGACGCGCTTCAGGAGCATTGTTGCTTCTAAAGCACATCTGACCTTAATGTGTACAAAAATGAACCAGCAGAAGCTTTTCGCTGCTCAAAGCGTGTGCGGTGTGGACGTAGCAATAGCGACACCTTCGACTGTGTTGGTTTCTTAGTGTTGGATGTTGAACTTGGCCAGCAGACCAAACCAGCGCATTCAGCTCGGCAAAGAACTCATGCTCTTCCTCAACACTGAAGTCCTCAGACATTTTTCTTTCGTTGTTTCTTTCTTTGCACAGGTAAACAGCACATTTCTTTTTCTACGCTTGCATTATTGGAAGAGCAGACGGTGAATGTGCACTTTCATCTGGTTTGGTCTGCCGGCTTCCGTAGCGTCGGGATCGCGCATGTGCACGCTTTCAGGAAATCCTATACACTACTGTTTATGCTCTAAAAACATTCTAAATGACTTCGTTTCGAGTAAATTCTGGATGCTACCCACTCAGGACACTTGGAATACATTGGACGACCAGTATGGAGGAATATTGACACGTTTTTTGTGGACTTTTATGGACCTTTCTGTCTCGGGCACCATAGACCTCCATTATTTGAATGTCAGCAGACAGCAAGAAGCCTCCCAGATCTCCAGATGCATTTGAGATATCAAAAAAGTACTCCAGAGTGTTGTTCAGCATGGGGGTGAGTAGAAAATGAAGGCTAATCATGTTTTGGGTGTACTATTCCTTTAAAGGTACACTATGCAACCGGTGTTGATTTTCCAGCGAAGCTCCCCCCAGAGGGCGAAAGTAAAAGTGCACTGTCGTAAATATGCACAGCCGTTCTCCTGGTTTCTCCGTCAAGCCAGGTGCGGTTGTATTGAGCTTAGCAGACAGGCGAACGCAACTAATGACTACAGTAATGCTGCGTTCACACCGCAGCTGACGCGACAGAAGCAGCGAGTTTACATGCAAAGTCAATGGTTGACGTGCGTCAAGGCGCAGCAAAAGGTCCCGCGGCGCGTTTTGAGCAGCAGGCGCAGCACATCTGAGCAGCTGAAGCAGCGTTTAAGCATCTGACACAGGGAGTGAGACACAGCGCTGATGATCACTCCTCTTAAACAGTTTATTGACGCCTAAATTAACTTAAAATGCAGAAATCTGCCGGCAGAATATGCAGTTTGGGTTATTTAGATGAAAAACACCTACCAGCTGCCGCGGTGAACCGCGAGGAGGCGACCCGGCCAGAGGCTGCTGATGAAGGGATCCCTACTGTCGGCGCACCGCTGGTATGTGGGGGTCTGAGCAGCTCCGACAGAAAAAATATTGAAGGCAGGATAATAATCTGAATGAACTGACGGCACTGATTACGTTTTCAGGTGTATTTTCTCACTTAAACACATATTAAAACTACTTTATTCCCACTGATCACAGCAAATATAGCTGCAAGGCAGAGAAAGGATAGTGAAGCTCCGCCCAACGCGCGTCAGACACACTTTTGCACCGTGCAGCCAGAGCAGCAAAGCTGCTTCAGCAGCGCGTCAGAACTAACTGGTACAAGCAGTAAAAATTAAGCAGCAGACGCAATTTTGCTGCGTCCGATGTGAACGTAGCATAACTGCACAAAGATCGCCACTGTGCTAGCAACGAGCATGCTTTTAACTGGGGCCGTGTAGCAGTTCCCGCCGTAAAGCAAGACCGACTCTCGCGAGACTTCTGAGCCTGTGGGTGCGGGTCGGTGCTCCTGCAATTGCGGTATTTCCCCCACAGACCACCAGGGCGGCCGAGAATACCTTTGTTCAACCTGAAATGAACCATTTAATCATCCATAACGTTATGGAACACATTAATTAACTGAAAAATGTTGCATAGTGTGCCTTTAATCCGAAAATGTAACGGCGTGACTGGCTTTAAGGTGGGTGGATATAGAGGACATTTAAAGGTTACTGAGAAAACGCTGCTCCTGATTACATCTTTGGAAAATGTTACCACGGTAACAGACACAGAGGATGAGTGACCGCTGTTTGTCATACAACGAAAACCTGGTTGTTGTTTTTTTATTATTTTATATTTAACTAACTTGGTGTTTTCATTAAATGTGCTTGTGAAACAGACCTCTGCATTTTGTTCTGTTATGAAGGTTAAAGTATTGGAGTTGTTCAAGTTTGTTAAGTTTATACATTTTAAACTTAAGAAAACCCACATCGACTCGTACTCTAAAACAAGATTACAATAGTGTTATCTCAATATGCCTTAATTTCTTCTGATGGTGATTTAAAGTCAAAACTTTATTGCAGAGTACAGGCTATCTGGACACTAGGAGCTTCTTGTGCTCACTTTAGGTTTGTGCTAAAATTTAGAAGCCAGCCTTTTACTTTGTTGTAAATAATAGAGCAATATATGCATTGTCACTAAGCCATGAATTATGGCTCAGTGAGAAAAACTGAATTTCTAGAAAAAAGACGGTAAAATGATGTTCATGATTTTGTCACTCTTTAGCATTTTATAAACAGATTTTGAGGATAGTCATCATTTAATATTACTAACTATTATGTAAACTTAATTGTAATCTTAATTATCTGGACTTATTTTTTGTTTGTATTTCTAGTTTTAAAATATGTTTTGCACAAAGCTAAACAGGATACATTTCTATGATTAATACATGCATGTGGACTTACATGTCTGGAGAAGTAATAGAAGCTGATCATCATAACGAATATCATAACTGTCATTGTGAACTTGGAGGGAACCATGTCAGAGCTAGAAAAAAAACAAACAAAAAAACAATATCATAATGCTGAAAGATTTGGTGCATTAAACATTCTCCAGTTTAAGTGAAGGAAGAAGCTGGATATGCTTGTATATGTAGGTATGGATTTAATCATTTGGTTTCAACAAGATTTGTGGTGCTCAGGGGATTATTATTAAACAAAATAAAATTCACTAAAAGGATTAACCGCATCACATGACGCACTTTAGGTAAACTCATATGCACTATATTGCCAAAAGTATTTGCTCAACGGTTATAAGAATTTTTGATTCCAGAAGTGCATTTGTGAGGTCATACACTAAGTTGATGTTAGGTGAGAAAGCCTGGCTATCAGTCTCCACTCTAATTCATCCCAAATGTGTTGTTACTTATCTGCCGGAATACATGAGTTTAAGAGGTTCAGAGTGCAGGCTGGTGCCAATCTGCACTGATTGTTTTTAGGGAACCAATCAGTGCTATATAAACTTCTCACCTGTAGAGCTGAGGCCTGTTTTCACCTAGCCGGCTATTTGGTACATGCTTTGCATGCTCTTTGTCATTATTTGAAGCTTTGTTATGGGAGTCTATGGGCAAGTTAGGTTTGGGGTACCCTGTACATTTCCATCATATAGGTTTTCTTTCTGCTATGCACACTGTCACGGCCCTTTCCTCTGACCTGCCGGGGCGGTTCCTCCTGTAGGCAGAGGCGGGTCTTACTAGTTGGAGTCACTTGGGCTCCTTATATAAGTTGGGCTCCACTAACACTGGCTGCGTCTCAATTCGCGGGCTGCGTACTTCCGAGGACGCAGCCTACCTAGCCTCCGGAGGACCCAGACTTGGTAGGCTGCTCCGGAGGATCCTCAGCCGTTGGTAAATGGGACGGTCTAGCCTTTGGAGCACTTCCTGGTTGCGACACGACGTCATCACGTTTACCCCAAACACAGCGCGAAACAAAATCCGACAGCTCGAGACATACGGAAAGAACCAACAAAAAAATAGATATGGAAATTTTTATTTTTTTTATTTACTTGTTATTGGAGGAGGAGAGTCGGCTTTGACGGCTTCGGCGGCAGCAAAACCTGCGACGGATTTTTCTCAGGCTGGCAGAGCGCAGTGGAGAGGTAAGATTTACCTGCTATTATTCTAACCCACAGGGCCTGCTAATGATCAGAATATACCAGTTATTAAATAAACGCTTGTCAGCAGATTGATGAATAGGTTTAAATATCAAGTTTTATATTTATTTGTAAGTTTATGATTTATTTGTTTGTAACTTTAGTAATTTGAATTGAATAGTTAAATGTGTACAAACCCTGTAAATAACTGACTTAAATCACTACTTTCACCATTACTAATGTTGTGTTGAGAAGCCAAACTGTTGAGAAATAAATCATTTTTGTCTAAATTGTTATCCCCTTACTGCCTGATTTTATTTGCAATTTTATATATATATATATATATAAACATAATACAGGAAAAAAAATATATAAAAACGAAAAAAATAAGTTAAATAGTGGATCTAGATGTAGTAAAATTTAATTTCTAATAAATCATGTAATAAAGATAAGGAAAAAAAGATAGATGACTGAATAAAAATACATATTTTTGTCTTTTTTTTTCTACAGGTCATAAGAGCCCGAGAGGATGAAGAGCAGGACGTCATGCCAGAGGATGAGGAGGGGGAGAAGGTGTAGGAGGCAGTCAGTGGTGCTCACTGGCGGGACCAGCTGTCTGCCGAGGTGTCTGACCTGGAGGAGGGTCTACCCGACCACCGTTACATTTAGATGGCAAGTAGAATCACATTTTAGCTGTTCTCATTTCAGGGTTATGAAAACAGTTTTAGTAAAGTCATTATTTTCTGCGTCTTCTTGAACATTTTTAGTAACATGGCAGCCATCGATTGGATCAGCAGTGGAGAGAGGCAACCCCCACCCCCCAGATGATGTCCCACTCGCAATCAGAAGACTCCAAGCTCATCTGTGTGGCATCCCATCCAGTTCAGCACCACCAGGGACTCCTGCTCAGTCACAATTGTGTATATATATATATATATATATATATATATATATATATATATATATATATATATATATATATATATATATATATATATATATATATATATATATATATATATATATATATATATATATATATATATATGTTCTCTAGTAATATTTACTGTATATCTTCTGTAAATAGTTGTAGTAGTTAATTTTAAAATCTAATGTCAATAGTTAAAAATGTTTGTAATAGTTTATTGTAAATACTTGCTTCTCTAAAAATAAACTGATGTCACTGAGATGTTGTTCTAAGTTTACTTAAATTACAAAGAAGTGATGAAACAGATTATGTAAAAAGGTTAAAAGACTTTAAGAACACACCTACAACAATAACTTTTATAAACAATTTCATAATTTAATTTAATAACAGCAACACAGAACTTCAACTTGTTAAAAAAAAAAACACCAAAAAAATTATAACATCTGTCCACCATCCTCTCCAATAAATGAAATAATCTGTCCATCCTTTCCCGCCTCCCTCTGCCATCTGATATCCTCCCTGATTAAATCCACCAACTCGTCACTCCTTCTTCTCTTCCTCCTTTCCCTCCTCCCTCATCCTCATTCTCTTCCTCATCTTCACCCTGATGCTGCTCAGCCTCTGCAGCATCTAGCCCTGGTGTGTCCTCAGGGATGGAGGCAATTAGGACAGGTGGGGTAATAGAGGGCCTCCGTCCTAATACCTCATCCATGAGGACAAACCAGGGCCAGGTGGCAGCAGTAGGATTCCCACTGACCCGCTGCCCTGCCCTGGATCTTTCCATTCCTAAAGTAGAGGAAAACAATTTGTATCAACAGATGCTATTTTCTGTAGTGTTTCTTTAAAGCTAGAAAAAGGAAGGTTTCATGACTTGGATGGATTAATGAAATTCTACAGAAAAAGACTTTGGAATGGTAACCTGGAGATTACTTTTTTCAAGCTTACTCAAAGTGTAAATTAACATGAATATAATAAATGAAATATGTAATTTTCCCTACACACACACACACATACATACATATACATATATATATATATATATATATATATATATATATATATATATATATATATATATATATATATGAGATTTACAAAAAGTGGCATCTGGGCATCATTTGATGTGATCAAAAGATTATATTTGTACGTTGGTGTTTGAACAGGACTTCTTTTAACTTGTGTGACTTTTACATAGAAATGCAACATGTAGATGGAATTCTGCCTCAACTCTTCCCTCCATCCGACTGCAGCAGTATTTTTGGCCCCGATGATAAGGTGGTCATTTTATCCACTCCTCTGTCTGCTCCCTGGAACAAAATGACATGTAAAGCATATTTCTGTTATGTCAACAGGCAAAATGACTGTTCTGTATAATTACGCCTGTATTGTTCTTAAAGCGAATTATACTTTAAACATTATACTGTACTGTAAATAAACTATACGTTATTGAGTATTAAAACAAAACGTTTGCAGTATTGACAGCCCAGTACAGCTCGACTAATGTTATTTCTTCAGATGCATTAAGCTTTAACAGCTCTAATCCTTTGTTATAAACTGTATGAGAATAAATAGATCCGATTAGTGAGGGATACGGCTATCAGTACAGTAAGATGTAGGTTAAAATAAAAAATAGTGACATTTGTATGAAGGCTTTTAATTGTTGATGAACATCACGTTTCAACAGGTTAGCTCTAAGCTTTAGCTTTAGCAGGTCCTACACATTCCGGTGGCTCCGTTACCGTCATGTATTTTAATAGATGTTCATTAAAAAAACAAAAACAAACTACTTACATTTAAAGGTGTTCTCCGAATTACTGTCGGCGCTGCTGCTGCTGCTTTCGGTTGTCCGTAACTTGAAGAAAATCCGACTTTCTTCTTCTTCTTCTTCAACTACTAAAAAAAAAAAAAAAGAAGCGCGCAAAGCACCTCGGGAAATCTAGCGGGAGGCGAGGCCACTAAGGACGGTAGCGATGCATCCTCAGAATTCGGGGAAAAGGAGGACGCATTTTGAGGCTGCATTTTAAGCGTCCTCAGAATTTTTGCCAAATGGGACGGCCTCCGCGCAGCGTTGTGACGTCACCGGCCTCAAAATGCGTACTACCAAGTACGCAGCCTGCGAATTGAGACGCAGCCACTCTCTCTCTCTGCTCCTCCAGGTACTTCCTTTGTCGGTTGGTTCACTTTGATTTTGGTAACACTCAGACACATTCATGTTCACCCACTCATACACTGCACACACTAAACATTCTTACATACCCATATCTCTTCTTTGTTTTATTTAAAGTTATTTATTGGTTACAATAAAGTATTGATTGGCCTAAATCGTTTGGTGTCCCCTCCTTTTTGTCATGGGCACTGAGCCGGCCTGTGACAAGTGGGGGCTTGTCAAAGTTAAGTTAATGTTAGTTGTACCTTAGTTTTTGTGTACTTTAACAAGTTGTTGTTTGGTTAACTTAACATTCTGTTAGATTGGTTAACATTGGTATAGTTTTCCTTTTTTATCTTATCATTGATAAGTTTATTTGTAGTTTGGCTATTCTACTTGTTTTGTAGTTAATTACGTTCAGTAGTTTTGAGTAGTTAATTTTTGTTTCAGTTTTCCAAACTTTTGTTGAGGGGATGCTTTGGTTTGGCCATTTTGTTAGGAGAGAGCAGTGAGCATGTGTTACCTTTGGTTAGCTTTTTTTAGCTTCTTTGTTTGGTGACTCACTTAGGGCCTTTTTCTGGGTTTGTGTCCAGGTGGGAGTCCTCCCCTTGTGAGGTAAATCAGCGAGTGTCAATAGGAGGCTCGTGGTGTTTTTGTTTTAGGTGGCAGTGAACGTGGGTAGAGCTTCCCCATTCCCTTTTTCCCTACATCGGCTCGGGAGCACCTCAGTGGTTGTGGGGGTTGCCAGTTTCTGGTTACTTTTCACTCCACTGGTTTTGAGTGCATAAAACCGCACCACATGTGACTGCACGATAACCAGGG